TTGGATCGGAAAGGAAAGGACAGGAAAGGAAAGAAACGCAACGGAAAGGACTCAGGTCGGAAAGGACTTGGATCAGAAAGGAAAGGAAAGGATTTGGATCGGAAAAAAAGAAAGGAAAGGTGATGTTTTCGCATTAAAAAGGAAAGGAAAGAAAAGAAAAGAAAAGAAAAAGGGAAGGAAAGGACTGAGATTGTAGGGAAGGAAAGGAAAGGACTCGGAAAGCAAAGGAAAGGAAAGGAAAGCTCTCGGAAAGGAAAGGAAAGGAAAGGAAAGGAAAGGACTGAGATCAGGAAGGAAAGGAAAGGACTCGGATCAGGAAGGAAAGGAAAGGACTCGAATCGGAAAGAAAAAGAAAGGAAAGGTGATGTTTTTGCATTATTTTTTTTTTAAAGACCTAAATATGACCAAAACGATTTCTTCAGAAACTTGATTTCAAAAATCATCAATGCATTAATCCACATAACTATATAATGTACACTCTGCTTCACATGGATGATTATTACTGTCGTACAACATGCTTTTACAGCAGACATGAATGTGGCAAACGGGAGACTGGCCGGAAAAAAACTACAGAATATGTCTTAAGTTTGGGATCATGTTAAGCTGGAAAAAAAACTCTAGTCTATTGTAAAAACAAACTATCCTACCAAAATAGCACAAAGTCAAAGCTTCAGCAGCTCAACAGAAAGCATCCTCCTGTCAACACATCCAGTCAACAGAGCAGACTCGACACAAGGTACAAAACAGAACAGACACAAAGTCCCTCCATCAGATTGTCCTTAAAACACAAGTTTTCTCATATTTTGTGTAAAATATTCATAAATCATTTCCCTTACGGCTCAACCTGCTGGTGTCATTGTCACCATATATCACCACTGACCTCACATCATCTTCACCACCGGCGTAAGAATCTCTGAAATGCATGTCATGAAAAACTGGATACCCTGACCACGGCTATAATATTACACATACAAGCATCCTCTCATCTTAGTTATCCTCTCAGGTTTTGGGATGAAGGTGTGAAGGCGGCAGAATAAGAGAAGGAAAGGCAGGAAGTGCCAGTGAGATCTTTGTTGGCTGAGTGTAAGGTTTCAACCGGGTGGCGAAGAGGCGAGGGGGTTGATGAGGTCTCGTCCCCCTGAAGGCCAGATAGGGACTGACATCCCCCAGCCCCACACTCGTCACCCCCCCTCATAACACTGTGTCACTGCTCTTGACTCATCGCTGCCGGGAAGAGATGGACATTGTAATGAAACCAACATTAAATAGGGTCCATTTCTACTTTAAGGTCATGTATATGATATATTGTTAAGAAAACACAGTTAACTGCGTAATCACATACTGACAGTTACTTTTATTAATTTTACAGAAATTCAGTTGACTCTGTTACAGTTTCAGATGTTCATATCAAATATGGATATATTTTAATAATCAAGTTAAGGTATTTAAAAGTAATCCCTGTGAGCAAAAACCTCAGACAATTTCTGAATCCTCTGAATGTTTTTTTCTACTTTTGCCACAAACTGAAGCCAGATCGTGGTCATCTGCTCCAGGCACATTACTGCAAATGTTTACATTGCGTCCACTGCTACATGTAGCTACATGCTAACGTCAGGGAAACATGGAATCTTTGTTGCCAATGTTGTTGATTTCTATCTGATTTCAAAACATATTGCTGTTGGAACATGTCTGGTTGTGAAGATTTTGGTTTAGAAGTTTTACTGGTGATTTTTCATAGTAGAAAGTGACGCTATACCCTGTTACAGTCATTCCTCTGCTGCAGGGACGCTGCTACATGTAGCCACATGCTAACACCAGGGAAACCTGTAATTTTGGTTACCAATGTTCTTAAATTCATTTAAATTCTCCCAGATTTTAGAATATGTTGTTGTTGGAAAACTTTGGTGTGGAGGCTTGTAGTGGTGATTTTTTACAGTAGAAAATGTCGCTACAGTGTTACCTCGTTACAGTCATAACCCAGGAGCAAGTCCACCGCTACATGTAGCTACATGCTAACATCAGGCAAATATGTAATCTTGGATCCCGAATTTCAGATCTTTTTGCTGTTGGAACATGTTTGGTTGTGAAGACACGCATTACAACAGTATGATATTTTCATGGTACGATAACCGTCTCAGACAATATCACAGTTTCACAGTATCACTGTATTATATAATTATCAGTATTATTGGTGAAAATGGCCCTTAAAGGAATGGAAACAGAGGGGTATTTTTTGGCATGGTATACCACTGCAACCCTAGAAGCTCCTGGTGTAGAGGCTTTGATTTTGCTACAGTAGAAAATGCTGCTACAAGGTTGCTTTATTACAGTCATTCCCCGGATGCAAGTCCACCGCTACATGTAGCTACATGTAGCTACATGTAGCTACATGCTAACATCAGGGAAACATGAAATATTGGTTGCTAATTGCGTTTGACGAGACAGGCACTAAACGGAGTGTCTCAGACAGAGGGTGAATACAGGTGTTACAGCACAGACAGTATGAGGAAAATATGTTCTGTGTTTTTCTGAACATTAAAGCAGGTAAACATGTTTGAGTAGAAACCCAAAATACAAGTATGAAAATGAGCAGTTTTCAAAATGGCTGTTTCAGACTTTATCACAACCCAGAGTGTGAGACAAAAACCATCAACACTTTCCACTTAATATCAGTTAACCTGGCGGTGAAAATCCACCTGTTTCAGTGCCGAACTCCTGGTCACACGATAATGTCCACCTTTCATAAGACTAACTGATAGACAGCCACTAATTTGGTGAAAGGAGCATCCATCATGTTATGAAATCCTGTCCCGCCCGCCGCCAGAGCCCCGAGAAGAAGCTTGGAAATCCTCAGTAATGAGCGGCGGCCAAAAACAACTGCTGGATAGAAACAGACACGGCTCATTGCCCTTATAAAGACAAAGGGTAAAAACAGGGTAGGGGGGCAACGTGTAACACACTCCTATACAGTACAGCATATACAGGCATCAGTGACACATGCACAGACGCACATCGTCTTCATGTGGGCCGGGGGCCAGTTCTTACACTGCAGCCCTCAGGGGTCTTTAGACACGACTCATCCAGCGTCCAGCTCTTTACCCGGGGGCCACCAAGGGGCTGAGGGGTATAAATGTTTCTCACACCAGCACTTCTCAGCCAGTTAAAAATGACTCCTGCCAACACACACATAGTCACACACACAGAATGTGACCACGGTCCGAATGGTTTCTTTAAGAGGTCACTGATTACCAAGAGACGCAGAGGCCACAACGGGTCAGAGTGCTCTCAGATGTCAGTGCTGACCCTGTAGTCCCCCATAGAAACCTGTCCCTTGTCTCTTCATGTGAGCATGTTTGTGTTTAGGCTACATTATATCCAAATAAAACTACAAATATCAAACATTTTATGCTTCAAATTATAGCTAAATGTTTGTAAAAATGCCTCGAAGGATCTGTGTGTTTTTCTACTGATGTGTTACTATGTTAAAAATGCGGACACCAATTTGGCTCCCTCCTCCGATGATTAACTGCTTAATATTAAAAATTTATTTGACTTTTAGGAACAGCTACAAAGTCGAACACACTTCCAGAAGCTGTTATTCACTCTTCACTAAATATTTACTTGAACGCAGGGCATCCACTTTCAGAGGTGACAGGCCAGTATTCTTGTGTCAACACCAGAGACATTTGCAAGCAGCCCGGTTTGGTTAACCTAATGATCTACAAAACACTGGTAACATGAGACGGCCTGTGAAAGTGGTCGAATATCCACAATATGAGAACCATTCAAAGTCAGACACAGTTTTAAACTCAACAGTCACAAAGGTTTTGCTCCTGTTAAAATGTTGTCTTGAAAATATAAAGAGCCAGATTATTACGTTTTAGAAATTAAAGGGTAAGTTCAGTGTTTTTCAACTCTTCAAATTTTTTTCATGTTTTTGTGTCTAAGTTACTAATGGAGACAACAATGTTTGAAACTGGTCCACTATTGAGCGAGAGCATTGCAGCCAGCAGCGGTGAATCAGGCTGCAATGTAACCACTTGGGGCATTTGTGCACTGTCAACTTACGTCCACTAAACATATTTGTTTTTGCCACTGACAGGCTCAGATTGTTACTTTGAGTGTCTGACAACATTATGGAAAGGATCCCTACAGAGATAGACCTTTTTGTTTAAGCAGAAACAGACCTGAACTTGTCATTGCCAAACCAACCAAACTCCAATCAAATAAACAGTCATTTTAGCATGTATAGAGCCAGCGTATTTTCATATTTTACTGGATGAATTAAGGGTTTATTTGAGCCATACCAGAGTTGGTGATTGTTGGAACAGTGTAAGATGACCCAAGATGACTTTTGTGAGTTTTATTTTGTTTCTGTTGACTTTGAATGAAGTGTGTTTTATGATTATAAAATCACTGTTTTTTTCAATGAAGTCTGGTGTGCTTGGCCATGGCTATTTCGGGGCTGTTTCTGGTTAAACAAAAAGGATCCAACTCTTAAACAGAAAGGTCTATCTCTGTAGGGATCCTTTCCATAATGTTGTCAGACACTTTTAATAACAATTTGAGCCTGTCAGTGGCAAAAACAGGCACAAAATTGATGTTGCACCTATGTCCAGAATGGTTAAATTGCAGCCTGCTGTAGAGGTCTAGCTCAATACTGGATAAATTTCAAAAATTGTTGCTCCCATTGATCTCTTTAACACAAAAACAAGAGGCCGTGTGTCGCAAACTGAAGTTAAAAACCCCAATAGAGAAGCATATTCTGAATACACTATATAGGCACTCTGAAACCTAATACTATCAACATACCCTGCTTGTCATAATCGGAAAACCTTAATGTGGAACAAGGCCTGATTTGGAATATCCAAACAGAGTATGGTATTTACTTGACCTGTATCAAATTCAGAGTACTGTCATAATAATAATATTGGAATAATAGTGTGCATGTAAATATAGTCAGTGTGCTCAAGTCTCTGTCTTTTCCCTTAGAAGCTCACCTCCACGCTCTCGTTGACCTCTATTCCCCCGTCATTGTCATCATCCAGCTGTTTGTGGATGTGCCGCAGCGCCTCCAGACTGAAGCGGTCGGCGTCGCCCATGCATGGCGGCATCACTATGAGACAGGGGTCTGCAAGGAACAAAAAAATTCAGGTCAGAGTGAAGGTTAACAAGCAGTCGGAGGAAGTTTACACAATGATCAGGTCCAGTTACTGTCAGGAGCAAACCCCATTAGCAGTTAGCATATTCCTACATCTCTGTGTCACTTTTAATCACAGCAGTACATATAGGCTACTTTGTGTTTGGATTATGTGTCTGCAAACCATAACTGCATCTACAGACTTTGTGCCAGCCATCTTGTAATGATGTTTGGCACAGATGTTCATTTAAAACACCATGACTTCTAAGGAATTGCTGCTATGTGACAAACTGCATACTTGGCACACAGAAGACACATCCTGCAAAACACAGCTTACATTCCTCTCCAGAGAGAGCGAACCACAATGTCACATCCATTGTAGTAAAATTAGGTTATGTTTGCAGAAATAGTCCATGTTTATTTAGTCCATACACTCAGATAGTCCATATAAACCACTTTGTTCATGAGAGTAAGCTGACATGTTCAAATCTCTGTAAGCACACTAAGCAATAACAATTAGTTGATGAGTTTGCTTGACAAAATTAATTCACTACTATTTTGATAATCATTTATTTGTTGATTTTTCCTAGCAAAAAGGCCAAACATTTATACAGACCCTCAAATGTGAGATTTTTTTTGCTTTTCATTATAATAGAAATAATCAGGTTGACATTTGATGAGGCTGTAGGACATTGTTCACTGTTCTCTGGTGTTTTACAGACCAAACAATTAATCAATAAATTTAGAAAAGCAACCTGCAGATGAATCAATAATACAATAAGCCTTAACAGCAGCATGTCTGCTGGCATTAATTCAATAGATGCTGATTTCAATTACATCTAAATGCCAGGTGAATGGCAGCTTTTAGCCTTTAGCTGATTAAGTAATTTGTAGTCTGAGTGGGCGGAAGTTCGCTGCATAGATCAGCCTCTCATTGGGCGGAATGAGCCACCTGCTGAAGTCCCGCCCTACCACCTCCGGTTGCAGTTTTCAACACGTCCTTTACTAACTTTTGCGGTGTTTGATCTTGCGGGGATGTAGCCATTTTTCTGCCATGGTTCGCGTCCTGTAGGTGATATTTTTGTGGGCGTGTTACACCAAAACCTGTTTCCCCCCGGCAATATTTTTGCAAGCGCACCATTGCTGTGGCACCGCCCAGAACGACTGTGATTGGCTGAAAGAAATACAAGCAGCCGGGGCGTTTTTTTTCTCCAACCTTAAAGTGAGAGTCGGCCCAGCCAGACCCTTCTTTTCTTGAGAAAGGTCTGGTGAGCGAGACTAAGTAATTTGCAACTGGCAAGCTAGTTAGCTGGCTGACCATAGCTTAGGTTATGGTTAGCTTGTCGGCCACCCTGTCAGCTGTAACATAGTTATACTGCATGGATCTGCCATCGGTTGGTTTGTAACATTAGCTGATGAAATAAATGGCCAATGGCAAGCTAGTTAGCTGGCTAACCTTAGCTTAGGTTATAGGTAGCTCATTGGCCGCCCAGCTAGCTGCAACTTAGGTACACTGCATGGATCTGCCGTTGGTTGCTTAGTATTATGAGCTTATAAAGTCATTTGCAAATGGCAAGCTAGTTAGCTGGCTAGCCTTAGCTTCTGTTCTGGTTAGCTACCTGGCCGCCCAGCTAGGTGTAACGTAGCTACACTGTACGGATCTGCCGTTGGTTGCTTTGTAACATGAGCCAATTTAGTAATTTACAAAACTTCGTTACACTGAATGGATCTGCCGTTGATTGATTGTAATGCTAGCTAACAAAGTAATTTGCAAACTAGCCCAGAGAGTCTGGATGAACTCACTGACTTTACTCACTCAAGCTAGTATTTTGCTGTGTTAGCTAATTAGCAATTTGTCCACGTCAGCAAGCAAGCTAACATTAGCTAACATTGGCCAGCTAAAATAACAATATCACAATAGCTTATATTTTACATGTCAGCTTCCTCTAGTTTTTTTTAGCACTGAGGGCACTTCTTTTATGATATGGAGAACTGAAATTGATGAATGCATTGTTTATCAGACAACAAACAAGTGAGGAGTTAGCTAGCGCACCCCACGGCCCTTCTGCCTCACTGTCCACCGCTTGTAGACTACTTTGGAGAGCAGACCATCAGTCAGTGGCTGTAGCAGCTCTAATTCAGTGAGCACAAACCCCAGTGAAGGTCTGTCTCCGGGCTGCCGCTACAAAATTTGTTTGTTAGCATTAGCAGACTCCATTTCGAAGCTCATCGTTTTTTCTAGGAAACATTTACGTGACATTTTGTAATAATTACCATATGAAGTCTTTAGTCATGGCAAAAAACATGTTTTGTGAGGTCACAGTCACTTTTAACCACCAAATTGGTGATTGTAAGTGAACGTTTGTGCCAAATTGAAGGAAATCCCCTGGAGGTGTTACTCAGAAATTGCATTCACAAGAATTAGTTGAATATAAGGTCACAGTGACCTTGACCTTTGACCACCAAATTGGTTAGTCAAAGTGGACACCTGGACCAAATTTGAAAAAAAAAAAATTGAAACTCCCCTTTAAGTGTTTTTGAGACATTACGTTTACAAAAATGAGACAGATATGAGGTCAAAGTGAACTTCACCTTTGACCACCAAAGTCTAATCAGTTCATCATTGAGTCAAAGTGGATGTTTGTGCCAAAATTGAGGAAATCCCCTCAAGGTGTTTTTGAGATATCGCATTCGAGAATGAGATGGATATAAGGTCAAAGTGAACTTGACCTTTGACCACCAAAGTCTAATCAGTTCATCATGGAGTCAAAGTGGTTGTTTGTGCCAAATTTGAAGATTGCGATATCATATTTATGGGATTAGGACATATAAATGGATGGACAGACAACCCAAAAACATAATGTCTTGAGCCATGGAAATCGCCAGCACAGAGGCATAAAATATTTTTTTATTATTACCTGTAAAAAGTACAGAACCATTAAGAAAAATTAAGACCTCGTGATCCCTCCCATAATTTTGTTTTCGAAGAAGAGCGGTGCAGGACTACTTTTTCTCCTATTTGCATCCCTTCCAGGCAATTTGTGCTGACCTGGCTCCACCTGCCTCCGAGGAACTGTGACCACACCTGCCCAACAGACATTTATTAAAATGAATGCCACTTCCTTGTGTGATTTGGAAAACAGACAAATTATGAAATGAGTTATGTAACACAGCTCCTGGTAATCATACACCGTGAAAATCAGGTGAGTAAAACAGGTTGTCTAATATCTCACAAGGGCCTGCACTTGAACCTGAAATTTGAGCCAAAGAGTCCCTCAGTCCATGGAGGAAAATATTTAATTTGTAAATCTAGTGCTTTGGTGCGTCTAAAGTGATTCCACTTGTGGCTATTATCACAAATATCTCAAATGTTGACGACATATGAAGCCTCTCAGCCTTCCCACAGCAGCAAACAGTCGACTCAGAGCTCCTGCTGGACTCACTCGTGTGCTGTTGTCATTCCTGCAGCGTCCCCAGGCATCCCCCCTTGTTTTTATTCAGTCCCCCTCCCGTCCCACTGGGGAAATGAGCCCATTACTTCCAGCCTCCCAAGCCATGGACAGTTTGAGCTGGACTGGAGCCAAACTGTCTCAATGGAGCCACAAAACACACACACACACCAGCAGATTCAACAAACCGCAGATACACCGGCTCATACACACACATATAAAGACACATACAGGCTGAAAAACCACATTTCAAGAAGATTTACGTCCCAGTCTTTAAATGCATCAGTCCATAAACTAAACAGAAACAATTTTTAAAACCTATGACCTGTTTAATATTGTTTCAAGTAGTGAGGTCTTGTCCAAGCCCAACAAATAATGATGCTGCCTGTTTGGCAACAGCTTCAGACCACACACAAAGCCACACACAGCAGCCGAGGGAGACACAACAACACCCAAACACGTAGACAGAACGTGCACCCAGACATGTGAATCGGGTTCTGGCAATGAGCGGTGTTTTTCTGTCAGAGGACGACAGGAAGGCCACCAGAAAATGCCAAAAAATGCAAACAAGGGACATTTTTGTAGTGTTATAAATGCTTTTGGGTGCATGGAAGGCAACTACACAAACTTAAATCAATTGCACAAACTACTACAGAAATATACAAATAATCTCATGCCTTTAAAGCTGGGGTAGGCAGTTTAATTTTGGCATCATTGGGCAGAAATCCCATAGCAACCTTTGAGCATATTGTGATTCAAGTGGACTGAGAGAACACCAGACTTCTGCACCTCCTCTTGGCTGTTCTACAAATGCAGATGTACGTGAATGTCCCTTTGGTGAATGCCTGATTCAATGGTAGAGAATCCTGCATTGAAAGTTGCCTTTCCAGCATTGGTCAACAACTGCCTCCACTGCAAAGCAACCCAAAAAATGAAAGACGGACTTATCCAAAAAGAGAGTCGGACAATAAATGAAATAAAACACTTATGTACATCAATTAAGTGTTTCAGGATGGAGCAAAAATGTTGCTAATAATTTAGCCTTCTGCTAACCAGAGCCAAAGCCTCACAGCTGCAGCTTCAAGTTTATGTTTATGTAGCTAATGTTAGCCAGAACCTCAAATAACAGTGTGTCCTCCGCCTCATTCTCCGCCGCTACAGACTCCTGTGTCTGTTTAGTAAATATGAAGCTGGAGCCAGCAGCCAGTTAGCTTAGCTTAGCATTACATCAGGAAACAAGTGACTGGAGGTTAAGATAATCTGTGTCTTCCGCCTCACTCTCCGCCACTACAGTGCACCTGGGAGGAGAGCAAGTAGCAGCTCCAGAGACTGACCCCCAGCCAGCAGCTGCAGCCGCCTGAATCCAGCCAGCACAAACCCCAGCTCCGAGGGATCAGACAGCCCAGATTCCCCACTGGTTCAGCAAACTTTATGTTGCTGCCATTACACAGGTTAAAAGTGGGGCTGCCACTGGCCACCAGCCATCTGTGACACCTGGTGCTGGGGGTTTGTGCTGGCCGATTATGAGCTGCCAAAACCACC